AGACAGACAGACAGACCCAGCACTTGTGTCTTTTAAAGACCTATTAATATTTCCTCAGCTCCCTTATTCTCCAGGGCCTCAGGCAGCACTCTCAGGAATGAATGAATGAATGAATGAACGAACAAACAAACAGAAAATCTGAAATCTGTCTCTGGCTCCTTCACAGGCCCCACTTCACAGGCCCCTGCTCTCTCTTCTAACTGCCCTCCCAGAGGGATTTATCCTATCGCATGTCTCCTAATTGTCGCAGCTAAAAAGCATTCAAATAAAATGACTCTCTCTGGGGACTACCCGTTAGTGGTTCCACAGGTCCTGCCCGCACTGCCAGCAGGCTGGCTGGTGCCTTTAGAAAATGTTCCTCAAAGGCTGGATTCAACAGAACCAAATGAGTGCCCCCTGGCAGACAAGGGGGAGGCTGAAAGCCTCCTCCTCCATCTCCAGCATCCCGTGTCAGCCAGGGCAGCACGGGTGGTCCATCTCCTCCGCGGGATGTCCCCATGTGTGCGCTGTGCTCAAGTACTCATCTCACGTGACAGGTGTGTTCAGAGGAGCTGGCCCTGAGAGGCCTCGGGTTCGGTTGCTGGGGTTTTGCTTGGGCTGAGGACATGGGAGGACGGAGCCACGAAAGGCTAAGCATTTTTAATAAAACACTCATGTCAGAAATCCTGGGCACTGACTCAGCGCCCATGAGAGTCATAGCCCTCGCCGTTGGCAGTCAGGCTAAACCAAGAGATTTAGGAATTAAGGTGGCAGGGCATTTAGCGTTGGTTTGTAAATAAGTTGAGCTGAAAGCTGCTTTCGCAATCCTCAAATTAGGTCTCCAAATCAAAATCATTTATATAAACAAAAAGGTTGCCTCGTTTTGCCTACACTGGTGTCAAGCCTCACCCCCACCCTTGCCCTAAAGGAGCAACCCAGTTCAGCTGTCAGATTTTTATATAACATTCTCTTTATGTGAGCGAGGCTCCGGAGTCCTAACACTTCACAGGAATTCTCTCCTAAAACTGGCACTGAGGCCTTTCATTTTCAGTATCCGTTTCTAAGTGCAAAGTCGAGAGCTTTGAAAAGAACCACCCTGGGGGGTTGGGGGTGGGGAGAGCTCTAGGTTACTCAGGTCTCATCCAGTTAAAAAAAATAATACTCTCTGAATTTTTACAGGACAGCTCCCTCACTCGGGTAGTCAAAGAAAGGAAAGAGGAAAACGTGTTTGCATGATGAAAAATATAATTAATATATGTATCATTAACGTAGTTATATTCTCTTGGTTGCACTAGCAGTCCCGTATTTTTCAAAAGTGAAATTCAGGAGCCAATACCTGCCACTATTTGAAGTCATCAGGGCCAATCAAGTATCTGACTAGTCGGTGGGACTTCTCTGTGGGGGAAACGAACCACGGATACTGTGGGCTTACCCCTGGGGCAGAAAATGTACATGCACCCACTATTTGGAACCCATCTGCTATTACCCAACCCTTTGGAGTCCTCTTGGCCCCATTACATCCTCCTAAAGGGATAACAGTTTCCTTTCCTCACCCAAGCAGGGCGTGGAGGGCAGAGTGTTTTCTCAAAACAATAGTAATATTGCTTCTTGGAACCCCTTTAAAATGGCCATCTGAGCTCTCAGCCTGATGCCGTATAACTGTAGGTACAGACTCAGTTCTGGAAGAGTGGATTCCCAGAGAGGGACCCCTGCTGTTTGGAGGTCTAGAGAGAGTGATATCAAGCAAGGATTGTTGATAGGGGAGAAAAGAATCCTCAAGGTGCCGAGGATGGGGGCTATTAGTTTGCCGCCCTGTCCCGTCTCCCTCCTCATTTAGAAGAGCTGGTTATCCATCCTGGCCAATGCAGGGGCCTTAAAAACATGGCCTGGTTCCGGAGCAGCTGGTGGCGAGGCTGACCCATTCTGTTCTTCTGCCCTTAAATACGAAACCTTCTCTTTTGCATCGTCCAAATACTATTTGCGTTGATTCTATCGTTTTGCCCTCTTGGGCCCTCACAGCTGCCTGTGCCTGATAATGACATGACATTTTAAACAGAGGGATGGGTCAGCAGTGGCCTGTGGTTGCTAGACACCAGCCAGGCCCAGAAGGATCTAGAGCAGAAGAGAAGGAGAGAAGGAGAGAAGGGAGCAGAGAGAAGCAGGAGCAGGCGGCAGGCTAGCAACGCCTGTTTCCACCCAGCCCAGGTGGACTGAGTGCTCCCTGGCCAATGTAAGGGGCAGTGCGGGCAGGCAGGGCTGCCAGGACCACTGCAGTCCCAATCCAGCCTTCACACACTGCTGAGAAGATGAACTTGGCCTTCTCCCAGTCTGGAAGTCTCTCCATCACAGTGGGGAGAGGAAAGGATCACTGACAGTGAGCCCCCTATGTACCTGGGCACACAAAACACAGATCTGCCTAGGACGTATGATAGCAAACGTTAACGACACCAAGTCCCGTATCTGATATGGAATGGAAGGCTCAGGTGTGGGCTTTATCCCTCTTAAGTACAGGTTCCAATGACAGTATACAGAGGAGAGAGACAGACAGAGAGGAGTCAAAGCTAAAGACCCTTCGGCTACTATAATACTAAAAATAAAATACAAACTGTGAGCAAATTTCCTATACAAGCTCTTTTACAAGCTAGGGGAAACCTTTAAGAGGGCTCTTCTACATTATACAATAAAAAGGCGATTTCCATTTCTTATCTGTGTGAAAGAGGAAAAGAATTTTTTAAAACTACAAAAGTTACTTTAATCATTAAAAAATAATAATAATGAAGTAGGTTGGGGGTTAGGTTATGTCTCTTTGGGTGAGCTGCAACGTAACCAAACCTGACTATATAAAAGGTAAGACTGTGGATACAAAAATGTCACCTGCTTCAACCCCAGGGCCAGACCTCAGGCCCAACCCCAGGGCTGAGGCAGGAGAGGAGGGTAAATCGAGGTGGCGGGGAGGAGGGGAGGAGGGGCCAGGGGCCGGTGTGAGGGGACAAGCCAGCAAGATCATCCGAAGTGCCTGTTGCCAAGGACAGGGCTTCCTTCTCTGTTGTGACGGTACAGAGAGAGCCATAGGCCTGAGCAAGGCATCGCTCCGCCTTCCCCTCTGGGTTCATTCTGTAGAAGAACACATGCTTATGGGGATTTCCCAACTATAAGGATAGTCCTCCAGTAAGAAAGAAGAAGAAGGAGAAGGAGAAGAAGAGGAAGAAGAAATAATGAAACAGGTCTGGAGGACTGGGGATCCCAGAGCCTAGGCTGTCCTTCCAGCGCCAAAGGCCAGCGGGAGACTGGGGTACCTTGGAGGGAGGCGTCGGACCTCTTCGCTGTGGTTGCCAGTGGGAAGCCTCGGCAAGCTAATAAATACTATTTACAAATGGGGAAGAGAAGCCAGGGAAGCGGAACTATGGGCGTGTGGGGACACAGGTTATGGAGAAGTCCTACAAGCGACGAGATGGGGCAGGTTTGCCTGGAGTAGAGAAGCCTGATTCCTTCAGGCATTGCACTTGCGGCCTGAGAATATGAAGGGCATGCCCTCGCTCCAGTGCCGGAGGACGATCGGAGGATGATCAGCGAGGGCTTGAGGGCTTGGACAGAGCAGAGCGGCAGGGGGCACTCACTGGGCACCCCGGCACTTCCGGGGCGGACGGCGCAGGACACACCGGGAGACCCAGGCGGAGGAAGGCACAACACCAGTCATGGGCTTTGCCAGATCCCAACGGGCATCCTGGTATTTCTGTAGTTAGAGTCTGGGTCTCAACGGAACATGAGTCATCGCTTCTTCAAAGAGAATCAGGGAGCATCTTTTTGGCACTATCTGTAGGAACAAGCCTGCTTGTCCCACCTGACCCTAAAATAATTTCCTATGGCAGTAAGCTCAAGGGAGGGGCTCCCTCCTGCAGGGAGGGACGTGGGACTCGCAGGGAAGGTGCTCTCTCACCGCAGGTGGGGGTCCCAGGCTGTCCTCCCATCCAAGGCCACCACTGCTCCTCCAAGTCTTCATCCGGATGGGGCAGGAAAAAGGAAAAGCTTACGGCAAAGGTGGTGTGGGGACGTACAAGTCGAGTGAAGAGAAAAAAGCAGAATGAAGGGAGCGCCTCTCTAGAAGGTGGCGTTCACTCTTCTGTCGAGTTCTACGACTTTTAGTGTTTCGTTCCCCTCCAGTTTGGCGCTGACCCTGTGAAGGCAGCAAAAGGGAAAAAGAAGACTTAGCCACCGCCTGTCACCTACGATTCTCACACTTGGTAGTACAACACAATCATTTCTTGATTGCAACTTGGCGGGCTGGTCCAAGCATGGTTCTTGTCGCTTCCCATTGAGAAGCAATTCTGTTTTCTAAGTCCCCACAACCAGCCTACCCACGTGCCCACTTTCCTACCTTCAACCCCACCCAAGGGGAGACATCCCCACCCAGACGATAGACACGGAAGTTTGTCATACATTGCTTTAAATTACCGTATTTACTCAGGATGGTTAGCCCTATGCTAGACTCTGGGAAGAAGAGAATAAAACGATCAAGCCTGATTCCTGATCTAGAATAGCTAATAATCCAAAACAAGAACACCACCCCCTCCCAAAAAAAAAACCAAAACTAACTTGAAATAACAATAGATGTACAACAGAAAATAAATATGTTATTACATTGTGTAATGCCTAGAAAGTCTCTAGGTATTTGGAGGAGGCATATATGGGCTCTGGCATCTAGGAGACATCCCAGAATAAGTGGGATTTCAATAGGGCCGTGAATAGCTGAGCTAAGAAAGGAGATGACTCATATCAGTAGCCAGGGAATCAAGAGGCTGGATCTTCTATTGCTCCCAGTGGCAGCCCTACAATTTCTCTATAACTGGAATCATAATAATGCCTAACCTCGTCAAGTTTTAAAGGCATTTACGTATATTTGCATAGTGCTTAAAATGGTATGTGCTAGTCCATGTTAAGTATGCACGTATAACGCAGACACGTAGAAGATAGGTAATGACAAACCTTCCCCGCAGCATGAAGGGAGGAAGCTGACGGAGTGGAGACAGAATCGCTCCCATGTGCACTGGAATAGCATTATTTCTGGGAGGCCCAGGGGCAGAGTTCAGTTATATCAGCAGCCACCCCAGGCAGAGCCAGGCGTGTGAATGCAGACAGGCTCTCCTCTGCCCACTGTCTGGCCTTCCCAGGTACCTCTCTTCGCATGATAACAATACCTGGCAGCCATGTTATTTTCAGTAGAGAAACATGCACAGTGCCACTCCAACGGTGGCCCTCAATATAAACATATCATTATATAATGATAGTTAATGCAGGTTTATTTACGTATGAATCACAAATCGACGTGTGGCATCGCACACACGTCTCTGTAGCTGGGAGGAAGGTGGAGAAGGTGTCCAGAGGCTGCATGTGCAAGGCATGCACCCTGCTGTGACTGCGCTGTGTGTTTCCTGACGTGGCTTTGAGGGGAGGGAGGCTGGAGAGCATGAACCAGAGTCCTGGGTCCTGAAAGGGCCGAGGGCCCGGACTCGGCCTGTGGAGGAGTCTCCGCCTGGCAGTCCAAGTTGCTGACTCACTGCCCATCATCGCTGCATTAGGGGAGCGGAATCTGGGCCCATTTGACTCACAAGTGCTGCTGCAGCTCCAACAGCACTGACTTCTCCAGGCTGGTCTCATTCGAGAGAATGAAATGGGGGAGCTCCACGTCTGGCCTGGACTCCAGCCCCGACGCCCTGAGCAGGGAAGAGCCTCGGTCCCAGCGCCCGAGCTCCCCAGCCGGGGTGGGGCTGGACACCTCCTCCAGCGGGGAGTGCTCCTCGTAGATCAGCAGGTTCCTGGATCTCACTGAGGACAGAGCACAGTAGCGGGTGTTAGGGCGACAACACAGGGACACGCCAGGTCCCCTCACTCGATGCCCAGGGATGGGGGCACATGACCACTCGTGGGTTCCTGTTGCCCGGGACTAAGGGGACCAACTGAAGTTGGCTTTTCAGAAAGGCTTCAGGGTTTCAGAGTGTTGTGCATTGAAAGGATTATACCAATGTGCTGTAAGAACAATAGAAAAGCAAATAAACATGAAACAAACTGCCACCCTCACTGCTCTGAAAATAAAACTCCCCTCCTTGACCACCCCACACCATCTGGGGGAAACAATTCGTGGAGAATGCGAGTCAAACGCTTGGAGATGTCCAGACCCAGCTAAAATAAGCATGCCCAAGGAGTAGGTCTTGTGTGGGGAGAAGGTGCAAGGGCAGGAAACGGCACTTTCATTTAGAAACTGGCATGAAGACACAAAGCCAAAGCCATAAATCAAATGACAGCGGGGACAATCTCTTTTGTTTTATAGGATACCACATCGCTAGATGGCTCTGTAGCAATTTTCCACAACATAGAAACTATGCTCTCGTTGGCTTCCATTTAAATTTAGCGACATAGTCCTTTAAGGAAAAAAGAATTTCCCAAGAGGCCACTGAAATTATTTGGTTACAATACTAGCATTTCTGTCATACACCTGGCAGGGGTACACCTGCCTGGCGAAGACCACAGACCTTCTAGAACTGCAAAACCGTGCCTAATCCAAACCCAATACCCCCAATTCCACACGTGGTATTTTAGGGGGTGTATGTATTAGTGTATGGATTACGATCCCTGCATGCCACCTCTTTATTTTCGACATACTTAAAAGAGATTGATGACCTAGGTGAGATTACCACATACTTCTTATCTAACACCTGAGTCTCCAAGTTCTCTAAATCTTGGGTATAACGTTTTGTAAGACAGACTGACTTTGACTTCATTTTATAAACTCTTACTATGATACATATGATTCTCCTGCATGGAGGCAGAAACACAGGAACTCCCGGAAAATGTGATGCAAGTTTGCAAACTGTGCTCTAGAGAATTCCCAGTGGGGGAGGGGCACAAGGGGAGACCCAGCAGCCTGGGCACCAGAACCCCCACATGTCTCCTCTCTCCCTTCAACGGAGAAGCTATATTTTTACCACTTTTAAAAAATTAGACTTTCACAGCAGACTCCCTTCAGAAAGCGGAGCTTTCAGAAAGCTCCAGAGAAATGAAACAAGACACTTCCCCAGTTGCTGAGTGCGGTCTTACCCACGGAGGCAGTGTACGGCTCTGGCATGGAATGCTGGCTGGGCAGCGCCATCTTGGTGGCAGAAGGATAGGGCCCATAGCCCTGAAAGAAGCTTCCAAATGCGACGGCAAAGCATAACACAACGACCTGCAGAGAGAGGGGAGAACACGGGGAGCTGTCAGTTCCAAGAGCCACGGAGCAAACTTTTAGACCTGCAACACCGGGGAGGCCCAGGGAGACAGACGTCCCACCATCAGGCCAGCAGGCTGCACCCACAGGTCAATCATGGTAACAGCAGAGCCCAGAAACAGCCTCAAGCATGGTTCCTTCCACCTCACGGCACTTGCTTGGACTTGGCAAGTCAGGGGAGACTGGAGACTGGGGGTTGGGTGGGGGCAGTTCTGGAGCTGTCCCTTCAGGAAACTCACCATGAGGCAGGTGCCAGTCTGCGTGCCCGCCAGCTTGCATGTGCGTGACACCTTGCCCATCACCAAAGTCTGAAGCTTCTGCAGTTGCTGAAGGAGCGTTCTGCAAATGTAAGCAATGGGGACCATGAAGGGCGTCTGAGAGACGAGTCAGTGCTTTTGAGTGCTGTCTGCCCCCAAGCTCCAGGACAGTTGCTGTGACTTTGTGTGCCCGAATTTGAACAGAGTGTCAAGGGAAAGTTCCCTCAGGAAGAAGATGGCGACACCCATGCCTTGCCAGCACCCGTGCTGCAGAGCTACCAGGGGCTCAGAAACAGCCAGCTTCACAGCTTATCCAGTTCTTGTGCTGCTGTGAGTAAGAGGTGAATGCCCCCAAATTTTCCCTGACTTGCCGGGACTTGTCTGTCAAGCCATTGGAAAAAAAAAGGAAAAAGACCACCCTGACCGCTGGTGCTGGTGATACAAAGAAAAATCATTTACCCAACAAGAAAAACATTGATGAAGATGCAAGAAAGGAGAAAAGCAAAGAAAAGAGGAAACTGCCCTGTAGAGAACAATAGAGGAATGGCCAGAGGTGGTAGCCGTGACTGGAAATGACAACGCTATCGCTGAACCGCAGTCACTCAGTCAGCAGGCTTGAAGGGGGGGTGGGGGTAGAAAAAGAGAGAGAGAGAGAGAGAGAGAGAGGAAAAACAAGCAGGATTGGGGGGCAAATAGCTGTGGGCATCTCACGCCCGTGGCCCCTGAAGGCTCACAGCATCACCACCACCAGAAGTGACGCCAAAACATAAACGAGCAGAGAAGCCTACTCAGCTGGACACAGGCTCAGAGCCAAGATCTCGGAAACCATCCTCTGGTACAGACTTGGGTCTTCCTTCAGGAAGAGACAGAGAGCAAGAATAAAAAAGAGCTATTCTGGCCCTGAACCTGGAGAACCATGCACACCCTTCAAAGGGAAGGGTTTGAGATGACAATAGGATATTCTGCTCCATGTGACATCAGGTCACAGAAAGAGCAGGCGATGAAAATCTTTACAAATTCTGGGCCCTGTGAGCCATAGAAAAGGACCTGACAACACACACACCTCTGAACCAGCATCCTTGGGATGAATTTTGTGGGAGCAGAGCAGAGCTGAAATTCTCCTTTCCCTCGACCTTCTCTCCACACCCAACGCACGAGGCAGAGAGGAAAGACTTTCCACGCCGGTCCTTCTCCTTCAGTCTCAAAGATTTTCAGAAAAAATCATGCTGTGATGTAGCTTTGGAAAGCCAGACAAGCCCATTGGGAAACATCAGCCAATCACTCGTGTGCAGAACTCCAGACTCTCATAGGTAACGTCCCTCTCACCGCAGTCTATCGCCTGAATAGACTTTCAAGTACTAGAAGGACAAGCAGGTTGTCCCAGGGCTATGCAGCATCTCCCAGGCAAGTGCCAATGAAGAGCTCTCCTGGGTTTCAGCCGATTAAGGACAGGTCAGCCATAGAATGGCATCAATTTGAGCAGTTAAATGGGTTAAGAGTGGGGGCAGAGTGGAAGCCGCCCCCAGCACACGCTGTGGAGGCTTTCTGAACCCCAAATCCCTGTGTGGTCCCATCTACACTGCATTTTTACCTTGGGTGGTGATTTTAATTTAAGCAAAACAAAGTCATTCACCCCATTAACTAATGTCGTTAATTTAAATCCTATTAATATGGAGGTCTTTTTAGTACTTAGCTGTACAATTTTTGCTTGATATGGTTATCTAGAGGTATGAACACATGAAATTTAGTTCAAGTGCATGTATATTTAAGCAATGGTCTTTAAAAGATTTCTGTACATTACTCAAAGCTTAGAAATGCCGAAGAAATGCCGATCGCATAATTACTTTAAATTGTCCTTGAAGAAATCCTACCATGTGTGACAACATGGATGGACCTTGAAGACATTACGCTAAAGGAAGTCAGACAGAGAAAGATAAATACCACATGGTATCACTTATATGTGGAATCTAAAAAAATTAAAAAGTCAAATTCATAGAAAGTTGAAAAGTGAAAAGTGGTGGTCGGGGGTAGGGGGTTAAGGGAGATAAGGAAAGGTTGGTGAAAGGGTACAAACTGAGGATCTAATGTAAAACATGGTGTCTCCAGCTGATAACCACATTGTGTAGCTGACATTTCCTAAGAGAGTAAAGCTTAAATGTTCTCCCAAAAAAATTAGAAATAAAAATGGTAAATAAGTGAGGTGTTGGGTGTGTGAATGAACTCAGTGTGGGGATTACATTCACAGTGTATATCCAATCCCCATGTTGTACAATTTAAGCAGCTTATAATTTTGTCAGCTATACCTCAAAAAGGCTGGAAAACAATTGCAACTAAATGATCATAGGATGCAGCAAGTTTGTTTTCCTCCTCGTCCCACTTTAGGTCTCCTCTCCCAGCACCTCCCAAAGGCACTCCATCTTTACCCACTAACACAGCCGCCTTTTCAAACTGAGAGCTGCGTGACCGGCCGCCCTGCCCACTCCCCGGGTGAGCACTCAGGCCCACAGAGCCGAGATGCAGCTGCCAGGAGCACGCGTTTTATTGACCACCATCTATAATGCCAGCCCCAAAGCCCCCACTCAGTTCTCCCTGCTGTTTTCTGGAAGTCCTGGGGCAGACACACAGGTGAGCCCACAGGTAAGACCCATGTTCTGATCATGTGGCACAAACACTTTTCTCTTGTATTCTGGCCACCACCCATGGCACCAGGTCATCAGGCCTTCATTGCAGCCAAACGATGGAAAAGGGCCTCCCTGGGTGTTTCCCGGGGTGCCTGCCGAAAAGCCACATCTGTGAATGATGGCTGCCACTTCTGCTGAGCACCTCAGCTTCCCCCGGGGTGCTCCTGCTGCCTGTGCTGGCAGCTGAGGTGCCGCAGGTCAGCTGTGCTCTGTGCACGGTGGGGCACGTGCCCCACGCAGGCTTCCCTTAGGCAGCAGCTTTCCAGATATTACCAAAGCCATTTACTTTTGCTCCAGAGTCTTCAGGTGCTTTTAAAGTGAAACCGCCATTGCCATTTTCACTAACGGTCCCTCATTACCCACCACCTTCCTCCATGTCCTTCTTCTGCCCACTCCCTGCTCCTGCCCAGTCTTTAGAGCATGAACCTCCGAGAACCAAGTCTATATGATGCTCGGGATCACGCCTCCCTTCTAATTTCTGGTGGCGGGCACGAGGCCTGGTGCCCCGTTCCCTGGAATGAAGAGCCTCCCAGAAGGCTCCCCAGTGTGTCCTAACAGCGGACCAGGCATGCCGAAACCCCAATTGTAGGACGCCTTAGGTGGTCACCCCAACCTACAGGTGCCCAGTGCTACAAGTGTGGGAGAAGGACCGTGTCAGTCTGGCTGGGCACCGGGGAAGGCTTCACGCTCAGGGGGTGCATGGCACTTTACTTGGCATTCATCAGCACATTCTCTCCAAACACAGAGATAATTATATCCTGAATCCCCTGCAAATGAAAATGGTTGTTTAGGGGTCCCTGATTTCTTGCAGTTCATAAGCCAACTCTATAAGATGAGCAAACATGTAGTTTAAAATAGATTTCTGAGCTTGGAATTTTGGTGGAAAGCAACAGTGATGTGTAGCGTGCTGTTCGCTGCGGCTTCTCTTACTCTGGTTAGCGAAGGTGGACGGAGCTGATGGTGGAAATGGTGATGCTATGAAGGCCCCCGTCACTCAGCAACAGTGAGTGACTTCACCCGAAGAAAGCGGGTTGGCTCACCCATCCCAAAATTCTAGATACATTTCTATGGTCCGATAACATTTAGGTAATTCATATACATTCATACAACAGAAACACTCTTTTTCGTCAAAAAGAAAGAAAAATAACAATGATCGAGTGCCCATTCATTGAGTTCTAGGAACTTTAGACACTGAGGTATTAATTGCCTCAAAGACATATAACTAGTAAATTCAAGACCTGAGCTGCAAACCAAAACCTGACTCCATAGCTTGTGAGTCTCCAACACAATACAACATGGTGCCCTAATCGATAATCTAATAAAATTACTACCCAAAACACTTATTAGTTAAGTAGATTTTTCTTAACTCCAGTGACATTAATAGCATATCAACAACAGCACAACCAAATGATACAATTAGGTATGAAAAGATTATTCTCAACAGGGATCAAGCCACAGATGGAAAGGCCACAATAAAACCCAGTCCGATGGTCTCAGACACCTACTAACAAAGTTTCAGTGATAATGGTGCAGATAAAAACAATAAGGGCACAGGAACCTTTTGTGGCATGTCTCCAGATACACCAAGATAAATGCAAGTGACAGATAAAAGCATCTGGGGTGCTCTTTGCCCTACTTCAGGTGTCAGGAAGTCACAGCTGGGCTTTGTTTAGGGAGATGCAAACTAGAAGGCCTGTCCCCTGTCAGACACGAAAGAGCTGAGGAGATGGCTTTCGCATTGCTCCACTGGTACACAGTCATTGGACCAGGGGGGAAGCCTCCCAGGGCAGAGAAACCTGAGTTTCCACCTTGGAGCTACTGCTCTGTGCAAGTTACTACTACATCCTGAGTTTAGGCTGCTGGTCAAAGTAATTCCCTTGACCTCATCAGCTAACAGAATAATGAGAGAATCCCCTGCGGCGGTACCTTGGGTGTGCTAAAGCAAACACACCTTTGAAGAGCACTTGTTATCTCTTCCCACTGGTGACAGGTGAGGCCAGGCCTCTTTATGGTAAAGCCTGGGACCTCGTAACTGATACGTTTGGTCTGAGATGATGTGGTCCTCTCCCTGATGCCACTGGGACAGATGCCATGGCAGCAATGACAGTATGGATGCCAGCTGTTACCATGCTTGCATGAAAGCCTGGCTGGAGAGAAGGCAGCCATCCAGATGAAATGAAAGAACTATTTTAAAACGAAGCTATAAAAAGTCAACCATAAGATAGACCCCAAAGTGCATTCAAAGCTCAGTGTATCCCTGTATCCCACATCACCAGTGACCGTGGCTACTTATGGCTTAATGAATTCTTGGGCTTCCAGGAGCAAGGTCTTAATTTAGAGAAAGGAGTACTCTTAGCAAATGTTTATCTGGGCCAAGAGATTTTTTTCACAACTTGTGAAA